GGGCCTTTCCCTGGGCGAGGAGCCCTTTTCTGTAGGATTTCTCTGTCTTTGACTCAGCAACGACCAGTCTCTTCCTGAGACACAGCTCTTCCACATATCCTTTTCCTGCTTCCTGTGTCCTCAGCGTGAGGGGAAGAGAAGCAACAAAAGAAAAGTGACCTTGAGAGGCTGCAGGTGCCAAGGAGCTCAGGGACAACTGACAGCAGACCTGCCTCCCTCAGAGCTGGTGTGTTCACTTTTTTCCAGATAATTCAGTAACATCTCTACAACTGGGAGTCCCACTTCTGGCAACTTCTGCTATACTTTCAGTGAACCTGAGGTTGCAAGAGTGTTTGGGAACAGCAGGTTCAACAGTACTGATCTTTGGGCTCTAAGCACCGATGCCCAAGTATAGCCTCTGATTCCTTGGGGAATGTTCCAGAATGTAAACCAAAAGCCATGGGTGATTGAGTCCCTTATATAACATGGTGCGTATTAACCTTGGCATCTAGCCTACATACATCTTTCTGTATAACTCAGATCATGCCTAGCTTATCTACAATACTGAATGCAATGTAAATGCTGTATAAATAGTTAATATGCTGTGTTGTTTGGAGAATAATGACAGGGAAAAGGTCTACGTATTTAGAACAATTGCAACTTTCCCCCCAATTTTCAATCCACAATTGGTTGCAGAATTCACAGATACAGAGCACTAACTATATTTCTATCCTTCCAGCTTCCCAAGAGTAGCATGCAAGCCCGATGAGGGCTGTTTTGAGAGCTGGTGGCCTGCAGGGAACTAACAGAATGCTTTCTAATCCATCTCCAGAGACCCAGCACTTTTCTGTAGGCTTGGAATTGCCATCGAGTCTGGCAGTGATGCCTTAGCTGAGCAAAGCTGGGTTTGTCTAGTGGGTGATAGAGCCTGAGCGGAAGCAGGTAAGGCTTTGCAGCTGGCCCCTTACCTTGTGCTGTTGCAACCAGCTGCCTTGACCATGGCATTCTGCTCCTGGCTTTACTACTGTACTTCTCTAGTCTTACCGAGAGATGCCAGAAACCATTTCCAAGCTGGAAATGGTGGACCTCAGTCTTTCACTGAGGCATCAGTACACACAAAAGCAAATTCATGAAAACCAGTGAGAAGGACACATTTGCCTCCTTTCATTGGCTGTTAAGAATTTATTTCCAGTTAAATAAGCGGAGAAATGTGATTAAGCACATGGTTGATGGTGCCCGCCACATGAGCCTCCCAGAAAAACAATAGGTTCTTTAAAGGTGCCAAAGTCTGCACCTTTAAATAGTATGTATCTTCTACTGTAAACTGTATACACTTCACAACCTTGGGCTGCCTGTGTGCTGCCTCATATCTTCAATCAAATTATTACATTCCAGAAATATGCATAAGGGAAATGATTGTACACATTTTATGGTGGGTTGTTGCTTGTAGCAGTAATTGAAATACCTTTTCCACTTATGAAAGTACTAATTTTATTTGTTTTTATTGCTTTTCTAGATGCAATTATTTATTTAGTGTGCTTTGGTTTTATTAAATTATGTTTACTATAGGAACATCATAAAAATGTATGAAAACAACACATCAGCCCAGCAGCCTGGTGACCTGTATTGAGAAAGCTGGTGTTATTTTTCATATCCAAACGTAATGAAATAACTTAAGAATAAACAGATAATCTACACTAGAAAACAATACGATTTCAAAGTAATGCAATAAAACAACTTGACAATATGATTTCATAAATCTTGGTTCTAAAATTTACATGAGTTGGGTTTTGAGTACTTATTTGAAGACACATGGCATTTCTAAATGGAATCATTATAGTGTGAAATGTAATTAAACCAAAAGGCAAGAATGTAAACAGGGTTTTTGTTGGCTGGTAAGATGTGGACAACTGAGAAGCAGTGTAGAGACTTGGTGTCAAAGGACAAGCAAAAATTCCATCCCTATAAATGTGCTTAACTTTGAACTTGAAAAATGGCTAGACAAATTGCACAGAGTGCTTGGCGGTGGACTGGACCAGAAGTGCCTCCTGCAATCTCTTCGTCTATCTCTGCCTCATGCTTCTTGTCCTATTCTGGTGCTTCATCAAGAGAAAAGAGGCTTTTTGCTTGGACATTCTTTTTAAGAAACTTAGATTCGCCTGGTGTGGTGGTGCATGCCTTTAATTCCAGCAGAGACAGAGGCAGGCGGATCTCTGAGTTTGAGGTCAGCCTGGTCTACACAGTGAGTTCCAGGCCAGCTGGGGACTATAGGGAGACCCTGTCTCAAAAAGACAAAAAAAGAAAGAAAAAAAAAAAACTTCTTCAACGCAAGCAGTCTTTGTCCTGAATTTCCGTAAGTTAAGAAAGATATAAGCTGACAATTTCATTTAAAAGAACAAGATTAAAAATAACAACAAAACTAAAATTCAAAGCCAAAAATTCAAATCTAACATCTAGTTTGGAGTGAGGAGAGTTGCTGGAATAAAATGCCTACATAAGAAATTATCTAATTACTAATTTAAATTATTACATTGATTAAATACATATGTCTACTGCAAAATCTGAAAGGTACTAGCCAAGAAATATAATAAAGTGTGCATCTTCCCAGCCACCCAGTTTACATCCCTAGGAGCCATGGCTAATGGGTCTCCAGTTGCTACATAATTTTCCAGGGATCCCAGGGTCTTCCAAGTATATAACTTGTACACATATGTTTACTTACATACATGCATACCTACATATTTTCATAAATGATACTTTTGTTATGCAAAACCTGTACAGCTCCATTTTTTAAAATGCCATTTGTGGTGCTGTGGATTAAGCATGGTGCCTTGCGCTTACTAGGCATGTGCTGTACCACAGAGCTACACCCCCAGCCCCAACTCTATCATTTTTAAGGACTATACTATAGTGTGTTCTATTGTTTGAATGTCCCAGATTTTTCCTGATGAACTTTCAGTTTCTTGGGTTTTTCTTCTCCCACAGAACATCCCTATCAATGGTACAGGAGAAATAGGTTAGTTAGGGCAACTTAAAGACAAAAAGTGATGTCTACGTGTGATTTGAAGCTTTGCATCTCGGGATGAGCAAGGTTGTATCTCATTTCATCTGTGTAAGAGTCTCTGTGCTTTCTTTCCCATGAACCATCAGAGAGCTCTGATGTCTTCTGCTTCACATTCTGTCTTCTGCTTCATGTTCTGGCAGATTGCTGGTCCTAATCTTTGCTGACTGTGGGCCCCTCTGGTATGAACTTCAAACACCCTCCTTGATCTTTTTGATTGCCCTCTGACGTCATTTGGAGACTATTTTGCCAGCGGCAGCATGAAAATTTACACCACCTCTCCCTTCTCCTGGATGTTATCACACTTGTAAATACCTTCCACACTCCTGAGATGGTTTTTCTAAAAGTTTCCCATGTGTTCTTTCAATACTTTTATGGGTGTATTTTCCAAATCTTTAACTTATTTGGAATGATATAGGAATGTAATTTTGTTTTATTTTCTCAAGGAGCTGCCTGAGTATTTCAATAGCATTTACTGAAAAAATGATACTTCAGTTCATTTCTGGAGTTTCTCAGCTAATAAATATGCCTATTCCTCTCTCATCACTATCATATTTAAATTCCTTCAGTTGCATATTTTTAAGACAGTAGAGCTGGATTACCAGTTATTTATTATCTTAATGTTTCTTAATCATGTTAAGAAAATATACATCTATGACTACTTAATTCTGAAATTGATTTTAAGAATTTTTTAATATTATTGAGTGACTTTCCAGCATCTATAGAGATAAATGTAAGTTTTTTCTTTTTTAATCTATTACTATTATAAATCATATTAATAGATTTAAAAAATATTGACCCATGTTTGCATTCTTAGACTCAAATCGACTTGAATATGATTACCTATTTTATATACTTCTTTCTTCATTCTCTCTGAATAAATTTGAATTAAAATTTATGTGAGTACATGATTTGTTCTAACATACATCAAGGTTTTCTTCCTTTTGTGCTCGAGATCAGCTTAATCACTCTGAAATTATCTGCTCCTTAAAAGAACTTCTTTTAGAAATTTCCTGTAAAAGAACCCTCCTGGTGCTGTTAAGAGACAGCCCTTCTTTCCTACCCCTTTCAGAATAATTAGTGCATCCAGATACCCTGCAACTCACATTTATCATTTATATTTTTATGGGACATCATCATTTTGCCCAGCATTTCATTTTTTCCCAGTAAGATGAGCCAAATGGTCTCACAAAAGTTTGTAAAAATTCCCTTCATTTACATTCTGTGCCCTTCCTCATTTTTCTGTTTTATTCATTTTTGCTTTCTTGTATTTTTTCCTTTTTATATTGGTCAGTTTTTCAGTTTATGTGGTAATAGGTGTTTTCCAAACACCAGCTTTTAGATATCCTTGTTTGTCTGTTTTCTGCTTTTTGTTGATTTCTTCCTTTTTTTCTGAATTTGATGCTTGACTCTCTTTGTGCTGTTAAATAATAAAATATTTAAACTAGGATTTTTCTTGAGCACTGCTCCAGCACTGTTCTTTGGGGCCTGGCGAGTAATATTTTTATCATTGTTTTCTAGATACTCTGAATTTTTAGTTTTATGTGATTGTATCATTCACAGAATTTTCTACGGTCATTGTTAATTCCAAGGAGGCTTGTTTCTGTCTTTTGTATATTTCCTTTGGACCAGTGCTATTAGTTCGTTTTGCTTTTCAGACTTAGGTATGCTCTGTGACCTAATGTTCAATCATTTTTTGCAAGTACTTTATCAACTTCAACATAAATCACAGTTCTCCTGGCAGAAACAGACTTCTATATAAGACAAGAAGATACATCTTCTTATGTTATTGTGCTTCATATGCGCCTTTATTTATTTACTTTTGTGTACACATTTCCCTTTTAGTCCTCCAAATACTGTGAAAATATGTACTTGGTAAATGAATCTGTGATATTTAACTGCCTAAGGTCAGTTTAAATTGTATTTTGCTTTTGTTTCTGTTTCTTTTTTTTCTATATAGCCAAAGATTGCTGAGGAAAACTTGACCTATGCTGAGCTGGAGCTGATCAAACCGCACCGGGCTGCCAACGATGCCCCCAGCAGCACCGTGTACGCACAGATCCTTTTCGAGGAGAACCAGCTGTAATGAGGCCTCTGCTCTGGTTGTCACCTGTGCTGCCCCATTATTTATGGTACTCAGAAACAAAGGCCTATTTTTGTACTTTCACCTGTGCCTTTGCTATAGTGGGGACCCATTCCCATGGCATTCCAGTGTCTGTAGTACGCCCCTCCCAAGGAAGAGGGCCCACAGTCCTCAGCCATGTCTCTAAGACAAGAGGTCCCTGGCCTAACCCTGAGACACAAGGACTTGGATTCCAAAAGCATTTGCTGAGCCAACCTGTGACATCTTCTCTTTCCCCCCGAGTCTTACCAAAAACCAAAAAGAAAATCTTAATTTTAATCTATCACCTCATCATGTCCATGATATCAAGCACCAGTTTATGGGTTCAGAAAATGTCTGTAGAAGCCACAGAGCGGGGTGAAACGTGGAGTCACTGGTTTTCTGAGGCTCAGATGGCATTGCTGGGTCACAGAGCACAGAATACCTCCGATGGTGGTGGCAAACAGCTGGTTATGATGGCATCCATTGTTTTAAATAGATGCTCTGATATTGGCTGAGGGGATGATGGTGGGAAGTCTGAGGTCTGTCTCAGAAAACTCTGGTGCTTCTCTTTAGACCCATGATTCCTCAAGGCTACAGGTCCAAAGGATGCCATTGTCCCCCTTGGCAAGGCAGATGTGGAGTATTAGGAAAACCACCCTCATTCTTTCCCAAAGAAGCAAGTGTGCCACCAGTGGACACAGGGGGCAAGTAGGCCTCTGCAGTGTGTGTCAAACACTCTCCACTCAGGCTGAATGCCTATTAATGGGAAAGAAGAGATTTTTGACCTGATTGCCTCCAGGTAGGAGAAGCACAAGTACAAGCCATGCTGGAAAACTGTGTCATGTCGGGGAGAAGACTCTGGTCTTGCCTAGTGCCTTGCCCATCTCGGTCTTGCATGTGAAATATGACAGGCTTGGGTGGCTGTTAGCAGCACGCGGGACATAAATCTATGGGGAAGTTGCTCTGTGGACCTGCAAAATATACAGAAATTTTGGACTTGCTGGAAGAAGGTCCATTCTGTGTCATCCTGTCACTGTGTTAAGGATGTTTCTGGATGTGAGTGTACTAGGGGAGGCCATTGACTGCACTCTATAAAAAATGTTTGGCTATGTAATTTACCATGTATATATGATAAATCATCTATTTTAGACACAGATGGGTGTGAGTTGTACTCCTCTATATCAATATGACTTAGTTGAGCTTATGATCCCTAATTGCTTCACTGTCTGTATACATAAAAGTAACTGAACCCCTCCTAGAATTCCTGAAAGCTAATTGGGATAATGAGCATTGCCTCATTCTGGAAACTGTAAACCACTACACAAATGATCTTTCTTGACATTTGTGCTAAAGCCAATCTGCACTTTCAAAAGAACACTTTTTTGCAGTGCTTGGGATTAAACCCAGGGGATTTTGCACATGTTCTAACAAGACCTCTACCTCTGAGCACTGTTCATACCCCTGAAGTAGCTTTGCCAAAAGCAAACTTTTGCCCCCAAACTTAGCCCTACAGCAGTAATACTCCCACAGACCTAGAATTCCTTATGAATACTTCTTGTGATTTATTGGAAAGGATCCACATGGGACATATACTAGTTTCCTGCAAAACTGGCCTGGAGTTGATTCTCTCTGATGACACCTGCATCTCATTCCATCCCTGTGCCAGGTCTAAAATGCAGATTTTGAAGAAGAAAGGTCATTTCAGATAATGTACTAGAACTTTCCAGGGCATCTTTTTTGGAAGGGGGAAAACACATGATTAGGATACCATCATCTCCTAATTATCATAGGGAATGCTGTTTCATCATGGCATTGTCCTAGCAGATGGTTTTGTAGTATTCTGAGGACACAAAGTGATTTCCTAATTTACACAAATAGTCATATGGGCAGGTTGGGGGTCGCTGAGGTGCCAAGTGGGGTAGAGTGGGGCATATGAAGAGATGATGGGATCAGGGTAAGAAGTAGTGTCTTCTGAGACTCTCAAACCCCCAAGCCCACCCTTTGGGATCCAGTGAGAGCTTAGAGTGATCATGTGTGGACATGAACACATCCCACTAAGAACAGCACATGCTTTTGAGAGCCATTTGGACTCTCTAATTGTTAGATTCCATTGAGCCTTTTTCACTCAAGCTCCAGAGCAAGTTGTGCAAACAGGGAGCCTGTTGAACATTTCCTCCTGAAAATGCCTTGTAATGGGCAGTAGAAGCCACACACAACATCTTGGGGAGCTTATTTCATCATTACCAGAAGGAAACCATAGAAGCGCTCTCAGAGCAGGGCCAACGGGTGATTTGTACCTGCTATTTATTTGAAGTGACAGATTTTAGCATTCTTGCTTAGAAAATGTGTCTAGTCATTTATTATCTACCAAATAGACCAAATAGTCATGTTCTGGTATTTCTAATGCTAAGTGAGGGGAAATATCATTTAACTAGAAATTACAAAAAGTTCTCCTTGGATTGATGGGAGCAATGATGTAATCATTGAGTAATTTCCAAAATGGATGGTTGCTTGTATATTTAAAGCAATTAAAGCAGACATGGACCCATTGCTCAGAACAGTGGCTTTTCATAGAGAGTGCAATTGGGGATGATTTTGGCCTAGGCCACAGTTAGCAGGAATCATTGTATTAAACGCAAAAGGAACATATAGTCAAACCTGAATGAACTTCTCTTGCAATCAAAGTCCCAAGGCCTGAGCTAAGCCACCCATGGCCGTGTAGAGAGCTGGGCTTCCATTAAGATCATCTCCTCACACAGCGCTAAAGCTCTGTAAGGGCACAGAGAAAACATGCCTGGCCGTCATTTCCTGAATGCGTGATTATGTGGGTTGGCCAAATAATCACTTTTTGAGATTATTTATGGTCATACTTATTGCACAAAAATCAAAAATGACCCAGAGCACCCATGTGGCCAATCTCAACTAGTCAGCCCTTGTGAGAAAGAGAGAGAGAGAGAGAGAGAGAGAGAGAGAGAGAGAGAGAGAAAATATGTTAGGGAGGGAAGAGAAGGAAAGGTGTTTTCCTTTTGAAAATGACAGACTGAGGCCCCTAGAGACTGAGAGATTAACATAGATAAGAATGTTCTAGAAACACAGACTCCTGGTCCCAGGTCTCCTAAGTCCCCCATACTCTTTTCTTTCTTCAGATCCTCCTTTAATCCCATAAACTACCTCACTGTCCTTCTGCTTAAATCCCAGGTCTGCTCTATTGAGACAGATCACTACGGGAATAATTCTAAAAGGGTATGTGCATCACTCTTTTTCTTCCAGCACAACAAGAAAAAAAAATACATTGAACATCCTTACTCAAGGCACCTATAGCCAATGGCTATACAGCGGTCTCTTGTTCTTGAGGTTTTTTTTCTAGGACCTCAGTGGACATCCAAACCTATAGTAGTCATCACTCATATAAAATAATGAATATAGTACATGCATATAATCTATACACATCTTCTGGATACTTAGATCATCTCTAGATTATTTATAATTCCTAATATACTGTAAATGCTATGAAAACAAGTGTGTACATATTCAGTACCAATTTTTTCCAATCCATAGTTGGTTGAATCTATAGTATAGCACCTGTGGATAACTGTGGATGTAGGGGTTGTACTGTTCTTGCAACTTTGATCTCCCACTGAGCTCTGTGCCCTTCTGCCTGAGAGACGTCCTTCTCAGTGGAGAGTTCACACACTGACTCACTCCTCAAGGAAGATATCTTCAGGTTTGGAGTAGGGACATTAGCACACTGTGAACAGTGTCAAGAGGTTGACTCCAAAGAGCCATGTGTGGGTATATTGGAGGGAGCCTTTCTGTGTCAGCTCTGAGGTTTAAGAAAGCTTCCATACAACAGGATACCCTTCTGGTCCTCCTGAATGAGAAGGCCAGGTCCAGAGGATGACCCAGCAATGTCACTTGGAGCCCTTTTAGGTAGTTATGTGATAGGAATGATGGTAAGAATGATGATTCCCATCCAGAACCACCTCCTAACCCCCATATATGAAACAGAAGCTGTTCCTTAGGAAGGAAAACAAAGCATAAATTCTTAGCATTAGGGAAAGGTCTGCAATCCACTCTATGTGACCTTGTACTTCAGTGACAATGGAGTGTGCAGGTGGATGGACTACAGACCAGTGCACCTTAACATTAAGCTGTGTACAGGTCACGTGGGACCTTGGTAAAATGCAGATCTTGGTTCAGGGGGTCTGGAATGGGACCTGGGATTCTGAGCTTCTCTTTAGCTCCCAGAGAATGTCCAGGCTTTTGACCTTTAGGCCACACTTGAGTAACAAGGATATTAACTGTTGGAAACATGAATCTGGAGCGCTACAGGGACTGAGGTATGCTCAAAGTATAAGACCAGAGCTGGAGCCCTGACAGTGGGCAAAATCCTTAGGGAGATGTTCCCCAATGAAGAAGAAATGTGGCTAGACCAGAGTGATAGAGGGTGGCTGGGATGGCAGGTCCAGAGCAGGTAAGGAAGCTAGAGAAGGAGATCAGAGAACACTCAACAAGAGGGATGGGGGAGTGCCCGGAGAGTGTTTCTCAGTGATAGGAACTCTGCAGAGATCATAGAATAGAGACTGTGTCTTAGCTCATTGTGAATGAATTGCATGTTTTTCATTAAAAAAAAATTCCCTGGGGGTGGAGAGGGGGGAAATCCTACAAGTGTATAAGGCTTGGGCACTGAGCCATGTCTGGTTTACCTAGTATTTCTTTCCTAAAGCAATCTGCATCGTTTTTGTGCAGTGAACTTAGACCCGACTCTTAACAGATGCACGGGCATGAGGGTGGTGTGACCGTGTTCTGCTCCTTCTGTTGTCAATTCTATCTATTTTTGAGACAGGGTCTCCCTGTAGCCCCATCATCCCACCAGAATTGCAGTGAACTCTATTGTTTCTTTTTCCTTTTTGTTTGTTTGTTTGCTTTTCAAGACAGGGTCCCCCTATAGCTCCAGCTACCCTGGAACTTATAATGTTGACCAGGCTGGCCTTGATCTCACAGAACTATGCCTGCTTCTGCCTCCCAAATACTGGTATTAAAGGCATGTGCCACCCCGCCCCAGCCCTCTGTAGTCATTTCTAAGAGATGAGTTGGTGTCATCTTTTTATGCTTTCTAATAAACACATCTTGATTAGTTCCTTGTCAGTTTAGTGTCTTATGGTTAAGCACCCTGTAGTTATAAATAGAATTAGAGGTGTTTACTGCTTAGGTTATATGCATCTTGTTCTTCCACATTAAACTTTATTACAAGCATCCTCCATCAAAAACAGGAGAAAAGCTCATTAACCCCTGGTCTGTGTGGGGGTCGCCCTGTGGCTGAAAGGAAAGAAGCTGTTTCCTTACCGCAGCTTGTAGCTGCTTAGGGCTGCTGGGTGGGATTCCTTCCCGTTTGTGTGTTTAATGAGAACCTCAGACTCTTGGTCTAGGGAGGGTCTTAGGAAATCCACCAGTAGCCAGGAGTCCTTAGGCAGATACCTGTGTTGTGTATGAGAATTAGAGTCCTGGCTCCTCAGTGTCCTAAAGTGACCTATGAATTATAAGGCCAAGGACTCTTCAAGACGAGGTTCTCATGCCAGGGTCCTCACTGTCAGCATCCCCAGAGAGCAGTGTGATAAGCTGAGAAGGAAAGGGACCGCCCGTTGGGATCCGGGCCCTTGACTCTCCATCTCGTGCTGTCTCCATGATGTTAATTTTATTATTCACTTTTGTAGTTAGTGTACAAAACGGATTTCATTGCAACGTTTTCATATATGCATACCACTGTAGTTCTCATGCATGTTAATTGTGACATCCCCACCCCACCACAAGACTGGCTCCAGGAAGCCTGTCTACTCCTTGTGGCCCCCGACTGGTGCTCTCTTTTAGAACTGTGCTTGGCTCAGCTAAAGATTGGGGTTACCAATCTTTCTCTTTGAAAGATCTCCTTTGTTTTATTCCTCCTTCAGCCTGGACAGCCTACAGGTTCCCTCAGTGCCTTCAGTGCCCTGGGACTGCAGCCCAGGCCAGCGTGTGGTTGGTTTGGAAGTCTTTGAAGCATCTTGTTCCTGCCCCACACTTTACTCTTTTGCCTTATCAGGATTTCAGGATCCATTTCCTGCTTCCTGGTAGTTGTCTTCTCTAGGTAGCATTTCCGTTTTGTTTGTTTTTTT